CTTGCATTACATATGCGTTTGGCGCAAAGCGTATGTGAATAACTAATAAGCCAAAAAGTTGCACACAAATTTACGCAAAAAAAAAAAGGAATTTCGTGACACTCAAAATATCGAAATGAAAACCGAAAAATCAATGGAAGAACAAGAGGATATTTGCTCGCATTAMTAAATGTTGTAATTCGTAAATTTAGATGCTTACTTATCACTGTACCTCGCTTAATCCGGTCGCAGGTGTTGTAATTGGAGCCGGGCACTGGTGGCAGCTTGCGGTTGGGTGGTGCAATATAGCCGAGCTCGTCACGTAAATCGGGTCGTCGTTTGTCCAACGTGGCGCCAGGTCCCATGGTCTGATTGTAAACTACATCGTCTAGAATTAATATATGATATGGCAAACTCAATATTGGGGGCACTGAAGATGCTTTTACCGTTTGACTTTCAATTGGTTTCTTTTCTAATTTAAAAATCTTCCTTACTTTACTTCTGTTTTTTTTTCTTCTTTTGTACCGCTTGCTATCGTTCGCTTTTGGCAGGTGTTTTTCAATTGTTTCAATTTTTTTTCTGGTTACGAAATCAATTAAATCATTTYGCACAAAACTTGACTTACGTGTTACTATTTTTGTTTATTGCTAGTGAGTGCCAGAGTAAAAAAGAGAAAGAGTACGAACCAACGAACGAGCTTAAAGGAATTAAGATTTGTGCAACACAACTTTTTATAAAAATTTGTAAAACTAATTAAAGGTGATTACATATTTTTCTGCTCATTACATGTACTTTAAGTTCCAATATATTTTCTGTAAAATATTTAATTCTTTTGGTTTTTAATTTATATATAAAAATATTGTAGTAAAAAGATTTTCGAAACTTTTTTCATAAATATACCAACATACGTACATACGTTTAATTCAAAAATTACGAATAATATTATGAAATGTATGACTGGTTTATGATTTCGAATATTATGCTTACAATTTTTTGGGRTGGAAAAAAGTTGCCAATTATTTCGAATTTCAATATAATTTGATTTTTTAGAAAAGCATCTTAGTTTGGGGGTTTTGGGCGCATTTTTTTTTTTAATATTCAAAACTTAAAGAAAACGCAATTCTAGTTATAGTGTCTTGTTGTATAGAAATTGAAGTTCGTGTTAGCGTTGTAGGAAATTTGTGTATTTTGAGACAGTTAATATTCTAGGAAACACATACAGAAATTTGTATTGGAAATATGGAGAAATTAACTATGTATTTTTGAGTTCCTAATAATCAATATAGAGAAATAGTAAGAAAAAAGTGTTGAGTTCAGAATGTAATGGGTATATAGGTATGTATGTATAATATCATAGTTACAACTAAAACGTAGAAAAAACCATATGGGTCCTAAGAATGAAAAAAGTAGATATTTATCTAGTAAAGGGTAGCTAAGATTCCCGATAAACAGTGAATTGGTATATTCATAGCATTTAGAAGTTAGCGGATATGATAGCCCTTAGTTTTACTAAACGCAACTATTAAAATACTTAATAACAAAAAAAAAAAAATAATAAATATAATAATAGGGACAAATAGACCAAGTTTTATGTATATATAATATTTTGGTGGGTACAATAGATGCTTTTGGGGGCCCATTGTGGAACTGATACACTATTTAAGGGGTTATATACAGTTAGAATTTTTTCAATCTATTCTTTTTTTATTTTATAATGTACAAATATTTAAGAATTTGCTCATAAATTTTCATATCGTTCTGGAGAATATTTTCGAAGTTATAGGCAAATTTGAAGGGACGTTTCAGAGTGCTTGGAAACGTTTTCTCAAAATGTTGTTTTCAAAGTCGGTGMCCAACATTACTCGAAAACRGCTAAAMSGATTAGTCTCAAATTTTAACACGAGCTTTTTAAATATATTTTTGGCAACTAATCGAAGATTTCTTCTCACTGTCAAAAATCGATTTTTCTAGAAACCGTCATTTTATCAAAACAAAAAAAATTTCCATTAATTGCTAGATTTACCATTACTTTAACAAAATCTGTTTACTTTCTTCATTTCAGAGGATCYAGTTTAGTGAAAAAAGAGGTCACCGCAAAACGTCCTGTTTGAGAAGAGCTCCCGAAGATCAGCTGTAGTTCCTTTCCAAATAAATATTTTACTAACTCTAAGTCTTAAAGTACAGTTAAAAAATACCATACTACACATTTTTGGATCAATACATTTAAAAGTTTTCTCAGAAAAAATTCGGGAAAATTCGCCTTTCGGCATTCAAACTGTATATAACTCCTTAACTTTCAAAAAYTAATTATAAAATTTATATTCTTAAAATTAAGTAAATAGAAAATTCCGCCATAACTCTAAAAAATCGATTTTTTTTTTGTGTTTGCTTAAATCTCTTTAAAAATAAGCTAAGAATATGTCCGCACATTTCTAGATGGGAATTCGAAATATTTTTGAAGCTAGAAGGGAAATAATGACCGATCGTCTAGCAGATATATTAGCGCTTGGGCAGAAAGCGAAAACTTTGACGCTCGATTTCTCGGTTTTTCATTTTTACAATTTTTCTTAATTGGCGGGCAGGATAAAAAAACATAGGAGCATTTTCCTTCAAAAACCGGACAAAAATGATAGTTACAAACTTCAGCGATGCTACTCAAAATTGATTTGCTTAGTACCTAAGTAACCGTTGCATAAAATGAGTACTGCTTTATTTATTTTTATTAATAAAGTACTGAAAGCCTGCTAACTTATTCTATACGGGTAGTATATAGATTGTATAAGGGGGTTCTGTCGGAGCCGGTGTGAAAATTGGACAATGGGCGTGCACCGCCCACTTTCTGGTGAAATCTCATAGCTCGGGACCCGACTGATCGATTTCGACAAAATTTGGACCAATGTTTGTTTTTATTTTCCTCTGTCACTATGCGAAAATTAGCGAAATCGGACTAAAACTACGTCTACTTCCCATATAACACAATTTACAATTCCATTTGATTCTTTCACTTCCCAGTGTACAAATAAAGAATTAATGACTATAACGGAATAAAATTTTGCGGTAATAATGTTCTTAAAGTAAGCCACTTTTTGACCAATAATTATCTAAATCCAACTAAAACTGTTCAATCCCCTACTTACCGAATATGTGGACCCGATACCAATAGTTGACTTTTGACCGAAAATATGTGAGATATGAAATGGAAATTCAGAAAGAATCCTTTTTTGACAATAGTCATTGTGTCAAAAATGGGTTGAATTTGGTCAATATTTTCCTGAGCACCTATTTGAATTGCCAAAAAGGTTGTATGAAAAATTCACAAAATATTACTCAAATATTGCTCTTTCATATACTCAAAAGATGTATCAAATAAATTAGTTAATTATATTAAAAACTAAGGTAAATTTTTAAGCTGCCAAAATTCACATAACCTGGTAACCTGAATAGTGAGATAAAGGATGCTTAAACATTTTTCTAACTTATTATTTTTACATTAACTGTTAACTCTGAAATTGAAAATTAACAAAGATGATTTTTATTAAAGCTTCTTTAAACAATAATAAAGCTTGGAACTATTATCTGAAAGCTCTCAATTTGGAATATGGTATCGCAAAAACGAAATTCTTCAAAAGATAAAATATCGAAGTGTACTTTTTCATTAGTTCGAACGATTGCATTGATTAAATGAATAAATCCTAAATAATTTTTTTTAAGATTAAAAAACATTGTCAGTTATCTCAGAAATTTTTTCAAATTTCTCTCTTTTTCATAGATTAAAAAAAAAGTTGAAAGATAACTTATGTTATAAGATATGAGGTTTAAAAAAAAAAACATTTAAAAAATCTTGGTTTTAGGGCTTGCTATAAATATACCAATCTCCGTATTTAAAACATTTATTATTCTAACGTTGGGTATAACCAATTTGTTAATGAGATGACATGATGGATATATTTTCAACATTTAAATATAAAATTGTACATATATACATAAATGAGTAATCATGTGAACATTTACATTACTACAACAACGATTACATACGAGTAAATATCTTTATATATGTATTCAAAAGTGCTTTMGTATTTTTAATGGAATTTGATAAGAAGTTCTAATTTTAATTCTTAGCTGATTTCAAAACATTGGAGAGTAATTTGTAAAATCTGAAATTAAAACTGAAAGCAGGGTGTTTCAAATGCTCTTTACTTCTTTTTTACACTTCCTAGTTACTGTTATTAAAATAATTGTGAGAATGTTCGAAATTTCCATTGAATCATTTAATACTTTTCGAATTGTGTGTTGGTATATTTGTGTTGTTTTTGTTAACTATAATTATTTTTAAAACTGGCAAGGGTTCATGCTAAGTAGTATGTTTTATATACAAGTGTATAAGGTTAGTTATAATTAATATAGCGTAACATTTAACACGAGCACAATTATTAACAGTAAATAATTTTTTTTACCGATTTTTGGTGATTAGATGTTAATTAATTCTTTATCAAGCGCCAAGTTTAAGCAATTGGCGATGAAAATAATTTCTAGTTAGAATTTTTCAAAACAGAAATAAAATATGAAAATAAATACTTTCCACATGAAATATAAAATAAYATAGTAAAGTATTATAAGTTATGGTTATTATTATTCATAAAAGCACTTTGCTATGTGCGTAGGAAAATGCAAAACCTACAGTACACGTCCTTTTGTCCTCCACGCAAGTCATCAGCACGGCGTCTGGAAAGCGCTACACATACAACAAGTATACCAACCGCTACCACAATGACAGTGGCTATTAAAGGCACCATAAAATTCAAGTCCAGCCATTCGGGCATCCAGGCGGGCAGGCGTATACGCGTATTCAGATTGCCTGCACCGCGACCATCATCAAGTGGTGCAATGGTGCCTGATTTTTCAGCGCACATACACAATTTATGACGTCATTTTTATGTTCGAAAGTAATTTTTGTAAATACAAACCCAGTTTGTGATTGTTTATTGTATATTTTAGTATATTATAGCGTTATTGCATGCATTATGGTAATGTTCGAATTTTCGAATATTCGAAAATCACATATGTTGTTCATATTGATAATTATGTCAAGCCAAACATTTAAATAGTTAAAATTTTGTTCATAGTAGGGTACGGATGCATTTTTACAAAGTATTTCAATTTTATTTTCATGTTTTTTGTTGTGTCGAATTAGCCGAAATGAAAACAATAAAAAACATAAAATTGGTTTTGTTTTGTTGAACGTAGTCATATTAAACGCATTATATAGAGAGAGTTTCAGTGATCGTAGAAGTTTGTAATAACACAATGGAAAGAAAGAAACGAAAAAAAGAAAATTCGATTAATAATATTCAGTGTATATACCTTTGTGATGATTGCCTTTGCTACGTAGAACGCAAATAACAATTATCGCTATGATAATAACGAGTAGAGCAGCTACCACCGGTACAACTAAATTTAAGTTGGAAAGTATGATGCGTATCGTATCCTCGGCGGTTAGTTCGGGTAAGTCACGCGAAGGGGCAATTGTTCCTGTAACAACCAAAGTATGTAGAAGCGCACAAACATACAGACACACACACACACGCAAAGAGAGAGAAAGATAAAGTGAGAAAAAGAGACACAGAGAAAGATAGAAAGCCCAAATTTTGGCATTACTCGGTTAAAACGTCAATGCAATGTAGAGTATTTCGTTTTTCGAAATTATACTTATTTTTTCCAAACATTACTTTGTTTTCTTTGTCTAATTTATTTATGTATACAAAAGTTGAATTCAAAATTTTTGCTTGTGTATGTATAAGTAAAAAAGTTCAATTAATAAGAGTAAAGAGTTTAAAACGTGTAACGCAGATTTCGTAAAAACATGTTATTTTGGAAACAGTTGGTTTTAATGGCACAACACATACATTTTAATTGCAAATAGTTCGAAGAGCGAAAATCAAGCGTAGTTTGATTTATTGAGTGATTAAACAGCTTCGTTAACACGAAAGAAATTGTGAAAAAATTTAAAGCTATTAATTCACTATATTACAGTTTTAAGTAAGGATTAAAGTGAGTTTTAATAAGAAATTAACATAATTTTTTTGCAACTTCAATTATTTAGTATACAGCACAGTAGGTTTAAAAAATATTATATGCAAGTTTCGAACATGAATTTCGAAGTTAATGCGAAACTTTATATATTTAATCGTTTACATAATCATCGCATAACTTCGAATTCTCGAACATTAACGTCGAAATTTCGAACTTGAATTTCGAATGAGCGAACGCAAGTTCTGCTTGCTTTTAATCATTTTAAGTAGTCAATTTTTTCGAAATACTACAGTTTTTCTATAATTAAAATTCACTTTATATTTTTGTTAATTCTAGTAAATGCAATAATGTTAAAAAACACTAATTAATTATGGCTAAATGCAATTTGTTTTTGTCCATTTTTTGCTAACTAATGCTAATTGTAATATTCATTAAGTATTTGATTAAAACTATTCAAACGTAAGCAAATAACAGCTGTAACTTTAAGTTATGCAAGTAAATGTAATTTGAAACTCCGCAAACTCGAACAACATTCCTTAATTCAAAGTTATAAATATTTTGCTTTATACATATACATTGTATGAATGTATGCATGTAGATTATGATAAATATTTATTTAACTTATTATTTAAATAACGGTTTAATTGATATTTGTCGATAAATATGTTTTTAATGCGTGGTAATTCTTATATATGCATGTTATTAATGTATGAATATTTCACAAATGACAATGTGTTTGTGTGTTATGTATGTATATATATAAATGTATATAAATGCTTTAACATTTATACATTCCCATATATATTTATGTATGTGTGTTATGTCAAACTAAATAGTAATCGAATTATAATCGAATTCAAATTTGTTACAAATCGAGATAAAAATACTCAAATTGAAAAACGAAATAAACTCAGAGAGACGCAGTGAACTCCTTTCTTCTATTCTTTATAAAAGCTGTATTCATTTTTTCAGTTATGCAAAGTTTTTAGTGAAAGAATCATGACACTCATTTGTGCGTGTAGGAAATRGAGGTTAAAGCAGCGCTTTGGTTGTTGCAGGTAAAAACAATCCCTTCGTTTASAGTTTTTGTTTTCATAAATTAATATATATTTTTCGAATATTAAATAATGTTCTAAGTATTCTTGGAACCCCAATGCAAATAAGGTTTAAGCTGTTTTAGATGAAAAGCTATAAGGTTRGTGTTGATGTTTTGCCTCTAGCTGTGATCTAGAATGCATAGCGATTTTATGTTCAATAAAATGTAAGAATGCATAAATTAAAATTGAAGGAAGTAAATTAARTAATTATCAAGCTCAAATGGAAAGCATGTGTTGTTGTTATGATTATTATTTTACTATGGTTTGCTAAATTTTAAAATTATAAACCACTTTTAAGCTAAGAAGAGAAGACTTTTTATAAAGCCTCCGAAAATACGTTACATGTTGTTTGTTTTGACATTTCAAGAAAAAGGTTGGATTTCATATTAGGTTGAGTGGAGAATTCAGACATATTTCAGACACAAGAGTTATACAAAGGTGACTTAAGTATAGCGTACGACAACTAATATAAAATACCTAAACTTGTTGAGAATAATTTTTTTTAGGTGTTTTTGACTAAGCCAAGTAAGGATATGCACATAGTGACCATTGTATAAAAKATGAAATGAAAAAACAGCAAGTGTGATTTATTTATTGCGCTGAGTTTCAGTAAGCTTCCGGAGCATATACATTATCTAAGCAAGTATATATTCATCTTTATATGATATATATGCAATTATCGCCTAAGCCTTTCTGGGAGATATACGACGGCATTGACATAGTTCAGGGAATTAAAAGACAGCGGCTACGCTGGCTAGGTCATGTAGTCCGAATGAACGAAAACACTCCAACTCTGAATGTATTTGACGCAGTACCTGCCGGGGGAAGCAGAGGAAGAAGAAGACCTCCACTACGTTGGAAGGACCAGGTGGAGAAGGACCTAGTTTGACTTGGGATCTCCAATTGGCGTCACCTTGCTGTTGTTAATTTGGCTATAACCGCGTAAACGGTTTCCACGCCAGTAACGAAGAAGCTTTACTGGGAATTGTTTTTTATGTTTTTCACGGCTTTTTGTTTTCGCAATGTATAAAGATCTTTACCATCGGTACGGAGCATTGGAACAGTTATACAATAAGTTTTCATGCAAAATTATTTACAAAATTCAAGGAGTTAAGTTTCTGTGGATAAGTAAGTTTCATAGCGCTTCTGAAGATGAAAAGTTATAATTGCAAAAAGAATAACAGTGGAGTAAGTTGGCCCGTTCYAATACCAGTCGTATTTATGTAACCGGTATGCAGCCGTATTTATAACCGGTTTTATAACTGGTTTAGAAACATATGTGAATAGAAATGATAAGATTTAAGTTGTATAGTGGAATCAAATAATAATCAGCAAGAAAAGACTTGACCCACTTACATTCAATGCGATTTTTCGATTTGACTGGGGACTGGGGACTGGGTAAGCTACATAAAAATGCAAGCGGTGCAAAGACATCAACATTTTCCTAAAACTATACATAGTTTTATACAAACAAATGTTTGTATGTTCTTTTTACTTACAATTTGTTTAGGAAATTTAAAAAAWTATTGATTTGTATGCATTTCATGTCACAACAACACATCTTTCACTTTGTGAAAAATAAAAATTATAATTTTTCTATTAAAAATGAATGAGGCTCAAGAATACTAAGAGAAAAAAACTAAAAATGAAATCAAGAAAGCACTTCAACACAAAATCAGCATGAAAGACAATGCCATTTTTGTTTGTAGACTTTTTCGAACTACACAAATGCTAGACCAGATAGATACGTTACGTTTAAATACTTTTCTAACATGATAAACTTTCATTTGGTGTAATGGTGGCAGTGGTTGTGGATTTCTATAAAACAAAAAACAAACTTATTTTCAAAAAGTTTTCTTTAAATTTACAAGTTTAACGTGAATTTGGGTGATTGGTGAGTTGGGGATAAAAACAAATTGCATTTACGCAATAAAAATTATAGATACCATATTTACGAGTACGAGCAATATGCGTTCAAACGCGATATTTTCAGTCTTTTCTACATTGCATTACTAGTTTGTACAAAAACAATAATTGAAATAAATAAATAAAAACAAATATATGTATAAGCATTGGCATAAAAAATGCTGAATAAAAGTTAAATTACACTTTATGCAAAAATAAGTAAAAAAAACACTAAAATCCTTCAGCACTAAAGTTTTGCATAAATAAATATTTTTTTTTTTTTGCAAAACAAGTTTTAAAAAAACAGATAAAAGCTTTTGAAATATTTTACAAAAACTAAAATTTTGTATAATTTTTAAGTGCTTTAAGGTTATAAATTTTTACATGGCAAAATAAACAAAATAAGTTGTTTGCATAAAAAGCAAAAATTTACTAAATTCAACTTTGCATTTCTTTGTGATAAATTATCTTGGGTTCAATTATTAACATTTTGACATTTTTTTTTAATCTTGCATTGGCAGACGAGTTGCAAAAACAAAGCATTCAGGTGCTTTCATCAACTAGCAATATTTGTTTTACTACAATTTATACCACAACAAACTCGTTTTTTTTTTGTTATTTGCATTAGTTGGGAAAATGCTGCAGGAGTTCAAGTTTTAATAAAAAAATTTAATTCTTAAAATAAATTTAGTTGTGTTTGCGTATTGCAAATGTAGTATTTTTTAATATCAATTTTTTAATATTTTCCGCTTGAAATGCATAA